TTCAGAGTCCAGGAATTCTTTGTGCGAAGAGCCAACCCAAAGAAAGGAATGTTTGCCAGCACCCACCTAGTGGTCAAAGAGCCAGATGGTTCTAAGTATGAAGCAGCAAAGAAATGGAATTTACCTGCAGTCACTATGGCTTGGCTCTTGCAATCTGCAAGGACAGGAAAGAAAGCAGATGAAAGCAAGTTCCCAGTTGAAAATGTTAACACTGGAGGTTGGTTGTCTTTTATGTTTTCTTGTTTATTTTAATATATGTTAATCATGTCAAGTTACACTGCCTTGCACTGTCGTTAAGAGAAATTTTTGAGTATAAGCTGATTTCTAATACTTAGGACCTTAAACTATTAAAACCAAAAGACTTTTCAGCTTATAATTTACTTTTCACTAGTTAAGATGTTTACTTGCAGCCTATCACTAAACTGAGACTGTAAAGGCTAGTCATTTCCACTTGTTTATAGTCCGTGGTCCAGATCTTTAGCTGGGGTAAATCACTGTGTAGCTTTACCGAAGTCAATGGAGCTATGTTGATTTATATCAACTGAGGATCTAGCCCAATGTCTAGTTATTTCCACTTTCTGGTTTACACTCCCTTACACGATACTGTTGTGTTAGTTGTAAACCACTCTGAAAGAGTGTTTAAATCTAATTAAAAACTGTTTTACAAGAGAAGGAAGGTTCTATAAAATGTTTTTCTAAACAAAATGAACTTTAAATTACTTGACAGTGCCCCTTTTAGAATTGAGAAGCAAACTGGACTGATTAATACTGAATACCAGTTAACTCACTAGTTCTTACCAATGCATTTGTGGGCTGCATAAAATTGCAGTGATTAACAACATACCTGCAATACTGCATTCAGCTCTGGGCACCTCAGTGCCAGAAAGATCTTGACAGGTTGAGTAGGAATTCAGAGAAAAGCAACAAAATGATTAAGGGACTGGAAGGAATGATTTTATGTAAAACCAATTATATATGTTTGACCAAAAGATAATTCAGACTACAAGTCCTACTTATGTATGGGTATTTGAAATGTGTAAACTCCAAGGGCCAATGTCTGTTGACTTGAATGAGATCAAGATTTGGCCAAAAGAGGGAAAAGAATTTAACAGGTTGGCCTAAGCAAGTGTAATTAGTAGTAATGGAATGAAACTGAGCAAAGGAAAACCAGACTGAAAATGAGGGGAAAAAATCCTAACTTTGTGTGTGGAGGGGGTTATTTAATATTTGTATTAGAGTAGCAACCAGAGGGTCTAAACTGGCTGGAGGAGCTGTAGTACTAGACTCTGTACAGTTGTAGAGTTTAAGACCACAAGGGACCACCAGGTAGTCTGACCTGCTATGTATCACAGGCCACCAACACCACGCAGCACTGTGAAGTCCGTGCTTCAAAAAGCGTACAATTACATATAAAATGTGAGTCTCCTAGAGGATGTATTAGAAGCCCTATTACTGGAGTCATTTAAAAGCTGGGTTGGCAAAGAGCTGTAGAATAATACAGCAGAGAAAAGTTGGCAACGTGATGGACTAGATTGCCTAACACAGGGGTCAGCAACCTTCGGCACGTGGCCCATCGGGGTAATCCTCTGGCGGGCCGCGAGACATTTTGTTTACATTGACCGTCTGCAGGCACAACCCCCCGCAGCTCTCAGTGGCCGCGGTTCACCGTTCCCGGCCAATGGGAGCTGCGGGAAGCGGTAACCAGCACATCCCTGCGGCCCGCACCGTTTCCCACAGCTCCCGAACCACAAATATCTCGTGGCGCGCCAGTGGATTATCCTAATGGGTCCACGTGCCGAAGATTGCAGACCCCTGGCCTAACAGATCTTTTCCATCTCTGATTTCTCAGATGCCTCAGCTTTACCCAGTGCTGATTAGTAGTATTTATGCCATTAACATTTTGTCTATAGTGAGGCTGTTGATCATTAAAGAGAAAACAGGTGAGTTGTTGTAGCTTTTCAACAGTGTCATAATTAAATGTTCCTGTTCTTGGTTTAATACTTTAAAATTCACTGAAGCACAAGACAATATGAGAGAGTCAAAGGTTACTCTATTTAAGGACTAGCACAGTAATAATGTGGTATAGTACAAGCACTAGTGTAGAAAATAGGAACTTAAAAACAAAAACCCTCCCTTCATTTTACAGCATATGAAGAACAACAAAATATTGGATAAATAGAATCCTTAGCATAATGCACATTTACCTTAAGGATAAAAATGATGGTGCTTAATTATAATTTTCTTTATTTCATTTAAGATAAAGATGAGAGTTTCATAAGTCAGCCCAACAAGACAGAGACCACTATAATGTCTTCAGATATACCAGACCATCCTAGCAATCTCCTTGAAACTGGGAAGAAAACAGCTGTGACGCCTCTTGATGTGAACCGGTTCCAGAGTAAAGCTTTCCATAGTGTGATCTCGCACCATATTGGGCAAAAGCCAACCCTTCCTGCAGAAGGAAGACTACTCCAGAAAGAACCATCTTTACACCTTGACACACCATCCAAATTTCTTTCCAAAGATAAGCTCTTCAAGCCTTCATTCGATGTAAAGGTAAACTCCTTTGCAAGTTTCTAAACCAGTAGTGCCAGCAGGGTCATATGTGTGTGAATGAAAAAGGCACAAAAAACCGCTATGCTAACCCTTTGTAAAGAGTGCGTATTAATACCACACAAATAAAAACACTGCTAGGCTTTTTAGTTTGGCAGGCAGTTCAGAAAATTCATGTGTTCTAAGGGACAGGGGTTATTAGAATTCATATCTAAAGCATATAAAAATAATAAAAGCATGAACGTTTTTAGAAATAGATACTATAGCACTGTTAACAAAGCCCCAATGTGCCTATTGCAACATATACCAGAGGGTCCTAAAGCAATGTCATATGTTACATAGTCTGTGTTGCTCTTTAAAAACAGAATGAAACTTTAGTAGAAGAGTTATAGTTTTTTGCAAACTATCATAAACAGTCTGTATTTGGCCCATAGTGAAATAGTTTCCCGGTGGACTGTGTAACATTAGCAAGAATTTTTAATGAATCTGTAAACTCAGGTGTTGTACCGTATGACTGGAGAATTGCTAACGTAGTTCCTATTTTTAAGAAGGGAAAGAACGTGATCTGGGTAACTACAGGCCTGTTAGTTTGACAACTATAGGCCTGTAGTATGCAAGGTCTTGGAAAAAATTTTGAAAGGAGAAAGTAGTTAAGGACATTGAGCTCAGTGGTAATTGGGACAAAATACAACATGGTTTTACAAAAGGTAGATTGTGCCAAACCAACCTGATCTCTTTCTTTCAGAAGGTAACAGATTTTTTTAGCCAAAGGTAACTCAGTGGAACTAATTTACCTTGATTTCAGTAAGGCATTTGATACAGTTCCACCTGGGGAATTATTAGCTAAATTGGAAAAGATGGGGATCAATATGAAAATTTAAAGGTGGATAAGGAACTGGTTAAAGGGGAGACTACAATGGGTCATACTGGAAGGTGGCTACTAGTGGAGTTCCTTAGGGATCGGTTTTGGGACCAATCTTATTTAATCTTTTTATTACTGACTTTGGCACAAAAAGTGGGAATGTGCTAATAAAGTTTGCGGATGACACAAAGCTGGGAGGTATTGCCAATACAGAGAGGGACCGGGATATCCTACAGGAAGATCTGGATGACCTTGTAAACTGGAGTAATAGTAATAGGATGCAATTTAATAGTGAAAAGTGCAAGGTCATGCATTTAGGGATTAATAACAAGAATTTTTGTTATAAACTGGGGACGCATCACTTGGAAGTAACAGAGGAGGAGAAGGACCTCGGAGTATTGGTTGATCACAGGATGACTATGAGCCGCCAATGTGATATGGCTGTGAAAAAAACTAATGTGGTCTTGGGATGCATCAGGCGAGGTATTTCCAGTAGAGTTAAGGAGGTGTTTGTACTGTTATACAAGGCACTGGTGAGACCTCATCTGGAATATTGTGTGCAGTTCTGGTATCCCATGTTTAAGAAGGATGAATTCAAACTGGAACAGGTACAGAGAAGGGCTACTAGGATGATCCGAGGAATGGAAAACCTGTCTTATGAAAGGAGACTCTAAGCTTAGCTTGTTTAGCCTAACCAAAAGAAGGCTGAGGGGAGATACGCTTGCTCTCTATAATATATCAGAGGGATAAATACCAGGGAGGGAGAGGAATTATTTAAGCTCAGTACCAATGTGGACACAAGAACAAATGGATATAAACTGGCCATCAGGAACTTTAGACTTGAAATTAGATGAAGGTTTCTAACCATCAGAGGAGTGAAGTTCGGGAATAGCCTTCCAAGGGGAACAGTGGAGGCAAAAGATATATCTGGCTTCAAGACTATGCTTGATAAGTTTATGGAAGGGATGGTATGATGGGATAGCCTAATTTTGGCAATTAATTGATCTTTGACTATTAGCGGTAAATATGCCCCATGGCCTGTGATGGGACACTAGATAGGGTGGGATCTGAGTTACTACAGAAAATTCTTTCGTAGGTGTCTGGCTGGCGAGTCTTGTCCACATGCTCAGGGTTTAGCTGATGGCCATATATGGGGTCGGAAAGGAATTTTCCTCCAGGGCAGATTGGCAGAGGCCCTGGGGTTTTTTCGCCTTCCTCATCAGCGTGGGGCACGGGTCACTTGCTGGAGGATTCTCTGCACCTTGAAGTCTTTAAACCACAAGTTGAGGACTTCAGTAACTCAGACATAGGTCAGGGGTTTGTTACAGGAGTGGGTGGGTGAGATTCTGTGGCCTGCGTTGTGCAGGAGGTCAAACTAGAAGATCATAATGGTCCTTTCTGACCTTAAAGTCTATGAGTCTATGAGTTCGTGATTCTAAGGAAAAGTAGGAGGGAAAACAGCAGAATAAAGACAATGGTCTTCAAGAAGGCAGATTTTAGCAGACTCAAAGAATGGTCTGAAATAAATAGGATGAAATTAAATAAGGACAAATGCAAAGTACTACATTTAGGAAGGAAAAATCGGTTACACAAATACAAAATGGGAAATGACTGTCTGGGAAGGAGTACTGCAGGAAACGATTTGGGAGTTGTAGTGGATCACAAAACAAATGAGAGTCAATAATGTAACACTGTTGCCAAAAAAACCAAGCATCATTCTGTGATATATTTGCAGGAGTGTTGTAAGCAAGACACAAGAAGTAATTCTCCCGCTCTACTCATCACTGATAAGGCCTCAGCTGGAGTATTGTGACCAGTTCTGGGCACCATATTTCAGGGAAAATTTGGACAAATTAGAAAAAGTCCAGAGGAGAGCAACAAAAATGATTAAAGATCTAGAAAACATGACCTCTGAGGAAAGATTGGAAAAAAAAACTGGGTTTGTTTAATCTGGAGATGAGAAGAGTGAGGAGGGACATAAGAGATTTAGGTTAGACATTGGGAAAAATTTCTTAAGTGTAAGGGTAGTTAAGCAATGGAACAAATTATCTAAGGAGGTTGTGGAATCACTGTCATTGGAGGTTTTTAAGAACAGGTTAGATGAGGGGTTCTTAAACTAGGGGATGTGACTCCTCCGGGGGTCGCAAGCTTATTATATGGGGGGTTGTGAGCTATCAGCCTCCACCTCCAAACCTCGCTTTACCTCCAGCATTTATAATAGTGTTAAATATAAATAAGTGCTTTTAGTTTATAAGGGAGGTCGCACTCATAGGTTTGCTGTGTGAAAGGGATCACCAGTACAAAAGTTTGAGAACCACTGGAGACAAACACCTGTCAGGGATGGTCGAGATAATTCTTAGTCCTGCCTCCATGACAGGGACTGGACTAGATGACCTGTTGAGGTCCCTTCCAGTCTTATATTTCTATGATTCTTTAATCTCTTTATTTCCTCAGTTCCCCATCTGTAAAATTGAGATGTTACTTTCTCCTGTCCTTTGTCTGTCTTGTCTATGTAGATTACAAGAACTGTGAGGTAAGGGCTGTCTTTTACTATGTCTGTATAATGCTTAGCACAGCAAGACCCCAATCATATTTGGGGTCTGTAGGTGCTACTGTAATACAAATAAGAAGTGGGTTAGTGTTTGAATAATATGAAGCCTTAATATAGATTGCATTAGAGGAGCCTGCTATTCAATGAGAGAACTTTTGATCCTGGAAAAAGGATAGTTCATCTATCCTGATTCAATAATTGCTTCTTTACTCTTTTTGGCAGGATGCCCTGGCAGCTTTGGAAACTCCAGGGGCTCCCAATCAGAGAAACAGGAAACCAAGTACTCCTCTCTCTGAAATCATTGGCAGGAACTTGAAATTAGCTCTGGCAAACAGCACTCGTCATACAGCAGCTCTTACTGCCAGCCCTCAACTGCGGGCTGCACAAGCAGAAGTGGTAGGATTATGCTCTTTTTAAAATTTATTTGTAGGCTTAATTAAGAAGATGTGGTGTAATCATGTAGTTGAGTTAGGAGATGCTTAACTTTACATGATAGATTATGAATCATATTAGCTTTGATACTGTATTTTGATATGTTCAGACAGAAATTTTAATGATTACCTATTCTTTTGTTTCAGTTGAAAGAGGCAAGACCAGTAATTTTGACTTCTAAAAGGCAGAGAAACGTATTTAAATATGTTTGTTCTACTGACCTGGTTTAATAGTTGTTAGGCAGTATGTGTATATAAACAAGTAACTATATATTCCATAGTTCTAGAACTTGTAGCTTATCACTGTTAAGGAACTCCCAGTGTCTGGTGTAATGAGAACGGTGGGCAAGGAGTAAATACTTTTACTCTGATTAACAGTAATATTGGAGGACACCCATTATTTTCTGTGAAGATATTGGAATTTATTTTTGTCTTGCATCTCTCTTTCCCCCCCATCCTCTTAGAGTGCTGTAATTGCTTCACTTACTCGGAAGCAGGAGGCAAAATATTTCTCACTTTTACCCCCACAATAAGATGTGTTTTGCTCATGTTCCTAGTAGTGTGTTTACATACTCTTTCCTGGAAGCAAGGAGCACAGTCCTTTCATGATTCCTTTTTGTACTAAATCTGATCTACCCTGCAGAGAGCAAAGTTAGAGAGAATAGAAAACAGAAATGTGGGAGAAATGTACAGTGGGTGCAGTGGACTGAAGACGCAGGCAAAGGCAGTGCTTTGTGTACAAATTGCCACACTTGTACTCTGTAATCAGTATGAGAATGGGGAAGTGGAATGACATTTTCAAGGGAAGATTAACAGTAATTTGCCATGCTGTACTCTCCTCTTTCTCACTCCCTTCATGGTATGTCCATTTTGGGGCCCCTTACCCTTTATGGTAAGATGTTTTTGTGTCAGCAGTTTTAGTATTTTCCCTGTTTAAAAGTTCAAGAAGATTTCAGACTGCTAAGAAAGAGGTGTAATATATTCTTATGAGACTTTGTGAGATAAGTCTTTATAATAGTGTTATTATAAAGTAGTTCCTGGTATGTGGAGCCATAAGAGCACTCCCTTAATAATGGGGAGGTTCAGGAAGCAGAGATCAGCAGAACTCTGATAAGTAGTTTCCCTTCTTTATCATTTCAAAGGTGTTGGTTTAATGATCCTCAGAACGTGATTTTTTTCATATTTTTCTCCACGACCATGAACAGGTGGAAGATTCAAAACCTCTTGCTGATCTAGTCATATGTGTTAGTAAGAAACTCAGTAAAAAGCAAAGTGAACTGAATGCTGTTGCCGCTTCTCTAGGAGCAGATTACAGGTATTAACTGATGCCACCAGTACTACACTCTGCATTGATATAACTTTTCACTTGAATGAATCTGAATCTTGGTGTTGTAAAGTCCAGTGTATGCATATGGCTTTTAATTATAGCGAAGCATTAGACTTCTCTATATTAAGGCTGCAACCAGTTTCCATGTAACGCCCTATATTTACCTGCCTCTTTCTCCCTAATAACTTGGCTTGGAAAATCAGTTTGGCCTAAAAATTCTCAGATTTACGTTGAAAGGTAAAGAGAATTTTTCTGCGTAAGTAAGAAGGGAACAGCACACAGATACTTCCTGGAGCTTTGAAAGGGTAGGGGCGTATGCCTGCAGGGCAGCAGAGATCAAAACAGTGAGCAGAGCAATCAAGGCAGGCATTGTGGGATACTGGTGGAAGCCAGTTCTGTCGACAAGACAGCAGTGTCTACACTGGCTCTTTGTCTACAATAAAGGGAGGGGAAAAGACAAAAGTCTCTCATGGGGTGGAAGTTTTTTGTCGCCCAAACTGGATGATTTTTGTGACAAAAGTCCTATTGTAGTGTGTACGTTTTTGCTGTTTTGTCGCCAAAAGGCAGTTTTTGGCGACAAAACTTGATAGTGTAGACAAGGCCTAAGTGATCATTTTCCCCCCACTTGATCTCCTGATAGTTTTGATTTGCCTGGCATGCAAATGTGCTTTTCTTTGTCTTATCTTTGGTCACACCTTGTGGGAAACACATTCAGGCAGGGGGAACCGCATTCTTTTGTCTGAAAAAACAAACAGTTTATCAATTTACCCTGACATACCTAATTTAAACACATTTTAATCAAAATTCCAGCACATCTGCATAATCCTTTGGGTGTTGACAATATATATAACATGCCAGAATATTAATGATCCATGAGTTAGTAGTTTTCTAGTGACACATTATATGACACCTTTTAGATAGAGAGTATAACAATAGTTAGCTGGGTTACACTGAACTGGTCAGGCCAGTTGAAACTCACTGCTAGCTAACAGGGTGACCCTTGCCTACAATCTGGATTCAGGCCAGGATGTGGGACAGAACAGCTTTTGGGGCACTGATGTATGATCTCCTGCTGTTACTGAAAAGTGGGCAGACAGCCATTCTCATTCTCCTGGACCTCTCAGCAGTATTCAAGTCTGTCAATTATGAGTAGGGCCCTACCAAATTCACGGTCCATTTTAGCCCCGCAAGCAGCACAGAGAAGTGTGGTATTGCCACCTTTACTTCTGCGCTGCTGCTGGCGGGGTGCTGCCTTCAGAGCTGAGCGCCCAGCCAACAGCTGCCACTCTCCGGCCACCCACCTCTGAAGGCGGTGCAGAAGTAAGGGTGGCAATACCGGGACCGCCCTAAAATAACCGTGTGACCCCCTCCCCTACAACTCCCTTTTGGGTCTGGACCCTCCAAGTTTAGAAATGCTGGTCACCCCCCATGAAATCTGTATAGTATAGGGTAAAAGTACACGAAAGACCAGATTTCACAGGAGGAGACAAGATTTCACCGTCTGTGACGTGTTTTTCATGGCTGTGAATTTGGTAGGGCCCTAACTATGAGATACTGCTGTCCTGCCTGAGAGAGGTGTCAGGGATCCAGAGACATGCACTAAAATTGTTTAAGCCCTGCCTGAAGGGATGAATCCAGTAAATTGTGATGGAAACTGTGTCTTTGCCACTAAACGCCTCTCTTATGGAGTCCCACAAGGATCAATTCTCTCTCTGGTTCTGTTTAACATCTAAATGCAGCTACAAGGAGATCATAGATCATAGAATATCAGGGTTGGAAGGGACCTCAGGAGGTCATCTAGTCCAACCCCTGCTCAAAGCAGGACCAATCCCCAAACAGATTTTTGCCCCAGATCCCTAAATGGCTTCCTCAAGGATTGAACTCACAACCCTGGGTTTATCAGGCCAATGCTCAAACCAGAGATGACATGGACTCAAGTGTTAGCAATATGCAGCACTACCTACCCTTCCCCACATATGACCATACTGATATCACCAAGATGGTCTAGTGCTTGAGTGAGATCAGCTCATGGATGAAGAACAGCTGGTTGAAACTGAACCCGAGCAACACAGAGGTTATGGTAGTGGGCAGAGAAAAACACTTTGAAGAGTTCACAGTCATGATGCTGTCTCCTTTGGTTGAAGGCAAACGAGCACAGTTGGTCATTTCAGTTTAGGAGTTCTCCTGGATTTCTTGATGATGCTAATCTCTCACATAACAGCATCTGCGAGTAATGCCTTATACCATCTCTTGTTAGAAGACTCCATCCCATCTTGGCGAATGGTGACCTGACCCAATTATACTGCCTTGTCACCTCCTGTCTGGACTAGAGCAATGCAGTATATCTGGCCACAAAGCCATCAACCCTTAGTAAACTCCAACTAACATTGAATGCTGCAGTACGTCTCCTGGCAACACGGGATACCGCAAGCACTTCAGGCTTATCCTCCACTCCTCACACTGGCCTTCCATAGAATATTGAATCAAGTTCAAGGTTTCAGTCCTTACCTTCAAGGTGCTCAATAGCCTGGGCCCAGGATATCTGAAAGATCACCTAAAGTTTAGCAATGAAGACCAGGGTACATCTTTGCTCTTCTAGCACAATGGAACTCTCTATGATAAGGGTAAAGCTTGTCCATGCAGGAGACAGAACTTCCTCAGGGGCCAGTTCAAGATTGTGGAATGATCTCCCACAGGAACTAAGTGAGGTGAAGTGAGATTCTTACCCACGAAAGCTTATGCTCCCAATACTTCTGTTAATCTTAGAGGTGCCACAGGACCCTCTGTTGCTTTTTACAGATTCAGACTAACACGGCTACCCCTCTGATACTTGACACAGGAATTAAGACCATTTCAAACCCTTCTGCACCACATGCAAAGTACGCTTCTTCAACCTTGCTGTCTCTAATATACAATAGTAGTGTGCACATTTAAAAGCAAAAACTACAAAAACAGAACCAAAACCAAACACTACACTGTGCACACAGTTCTCCCCATGCAGCGAGAATGAGAGAGAACAAATCACATGTGACAGATGTTGGTCACATTGCTTAATGTGCTACTGAAAGGTGCTCAAATACAAGAAGTGGGGAGGGCAATATAAGAACGTGTATAGAATAAAACGCAAAAGAATATTGCTGTTCTACATAAATATTTCAATTTGTAAAATGAAAAAACAAAACAAAAAAACAAATCAAATGTTAAGGTACATTTTATTAATATTAAATTGAAATTACTAAGCGATGCGTGACATGATTCCCCAAACAATTCTTGTATGTTGGATGATGGTGATTTTGAGGGGGCAGCTAAATAAGTAAGTTTTTTGTAGCTTTTGTTAAGCTTCGTAGAGTAATGGTTATTTGTCTTGGTGGGATAAGACTCAGTTTCAAGGATGCAGTAATTATAATAATAAACTGGAGTTGATATCTTCAGGTTACATTTTATTGGTGTTTGTTCTAGATGGTGCTTCGATGAAACAGTAACTCACTTCATCTACCAGGGAAGACAAAATGACAGCAGTAAGGAATACAAATCTGTTAAAGAAAGGGGCATACACATTGTGTCAGAGCATTGGCTTTTAGAGGTATGGAAGAAATTTATTTTTATTTTCCTCTGAAATGTGAAGGAGAATGGAGACAAGATCAGATGTATTGGACTGACTTTCCGTTTTTTTTCAAAGCACATGCATGGGTTTAAATTGTTCATACACAATAGCTTTATGCATGCTGCTTTTAATTTGCAGGCTTCATCCTTCTAAATCTTAATTAATAATTGGTGTACCTTCACCTTGTAATGACTGTAGAGCTGAAATTGACAGTTTCTTCATATATTTGCTTTTCATACCCAATACATTGACTCAGTTTACAATAAATTTTGGTTGAGGTTTTCCTGAACAATAACTTTTGTTTGCATAAGTATTTGCCAATGGGACAGAAGTAAAGTTAGATTTAGTAGTCATGAAGAAAAATCTTCAGAACTTTTTGAAAAGTAAGAATTTCATACTTGCTGACATAAGAACTACATGTGTCTCCTGCGTTAGTGTTTTTTCCCAATTATATTATTTTATTGATTTTTTTTTATATTTAGTTTTGCATCATGCTATCTAAATTACTCAGTTCTTCCCAGATTTCTCATAACTTCTTAAATTTATGAACTTTGTTGCAGAGTGCACAAGAATATAAACGACTTCCTGAATCTCTGTTCCCTCACACTTACAATCCCAAAATGAGTCTGGATATCAGTGCAGTGCAAGATGGCAGACTTTCTTCCAGTAGACTTTCATCAACTGGAAAAACAGCAAAGGAAGCTGAGGTATATGATAAGATGTAACCTCTGGTCTGTATTGGATTCATTGGCATTATTTTAATCTAGTTGTTTCACTAACAAAATGAATATAAACTGATACAAATATTGTTATTTAGTAATCTCTGGGGTCAGGTTCAGCAGTTATGCAGCTGTAAACTTTCTCTATCCTGGAGGCTCCATCAGTTTCTCAGCATTCTAACTCTCTTAAATATCTTATTAGAGTGGACACAGTCTTCAAATCTGAATTGGTGTGATCCTGTCTCTGTCTTCAGTTAGACATAAACAGTAGACCTGAGAGGTGCGAATTTTATTGAATTTAATGCGATATTAGATCTCCTGTCTAGTGTGGTTTTTTAATTATTTCACTGCTGTGGCAGAAACATTAAGCTAACCTGAGGCTGATAGAGTGGAACTTTGGTTTGTTGGTGGAGCTTTGGTAGAGTTCTTCCTGTCCCCTAAAACACTCCAACATGCTTACCCCCCACTGAACACTGCAGCCAGTTGCTATGTCTTTCAGTTTCAGAATTAGATTGATAAGTTCTATATTTTTAACATTCTTAGAGTATTTCAGTGGATGAAAATGACACAGGAGATGTAACTACTAACCAGGTAAAGGAAGCAGTCACAGTAAGAGAGGAGCAAATTGCAGCAAATGAAGCCAAAGGAGGTAAACAAAATATTCTTTGTTTTCTTTTTAAAACAGCCGTGGAAACTACAGTTATAAATATAATCGTTTTACTATTTTGGGGAAGCTTGACTTTTAAGATCTGGAGGTTTTAGTGTCATTTATTCTCTTACCTAAGCACAGTGTAGCCAGCCAGACTTCCCTGGAAAAGTGCTGGCTGCTTCTTATTCATAAGTGCTCCAGAGTATGAGGAGAGATGTTTTGGACCCTTGTTTAAAGACACTGGCAAATCCATAAGGAGAACCAACCATCCCTGATGAATTATTGGGCTGCTGGGCTGTTGTCTTTAGTATTCTAGAATTTCTCAAAGACTGGATATTGCTAATTATTTGTCATGTGAAACAAAGACTTAATTGAAAGTATTGCCTCATGTGAAAACATGTACATATCTTTGTCCTGAAAGGGAGCTACATGATTAAACCCCTGTGGCATTCTAAAAATGTAAAATTAAATGGCCTAACTCTTGTTGTGACTTTCTTTCACTTCAAGTTTTAACCCAGACACTGGAAATGAGGGAGAACTTTCAAAAGCAACTACAGGAGATCATGTCTGCAACATCGATAGTGAAACCACAAGCACAAAGAGGATCATTGTCAAGGAATGGTTTCGACAGTTCCCCTACCACACCAGATGGCACACGATCTGTGCGTAATGGTCGTAGTAGAGTCTTGGAAGCTCTAAGGTATCATGCTGCATGTAAATGTGTCTTTCTTTGTCTTGCTTTCTTTTACTTGACTTTGACAGTCTTACAAAAATTTGGACAGAAAACTAAGTAAGTCTAATAAGTAGGGCTGTCAGTTAATGGCAGTTAACTCACGCGATTAACTCAAAAAAATTAATCATGATTAATCGCACTGTTAAACAGTAGAATACCAATTGCAATTTATTGAATGTTTTGGATATTTTTCTACATTTTCAAATATATTGATTTCAATTACAACACAGAATACAAAGTGTACAGTGCTCACTTTATATTATTTTTATTACAAATATTTGCACTGTAAAATGATAAAGAAAAGAAATATTATTTTTCAATTCACCTCTTACAAGTACCGTAGTGCAGTCTCTTTATCATTAAAGCGCAACTTACAAATGTAGAATTAATTTTTTTTTTTTTGGTTTACATAACCACTCAAAAGCAAAACAAATTAAAACTTTAGAGCCTACAAGTCCACTCAGTCTTACTTCTTCTTCAGCCAATTGCTAAGAGAAACAAGTTTGTTTACATTTACAGGAGATATGCTGACCGCTTCGTATTTACAATGTCACCTGAAAATGAGAATAGACGTTTGCATGGCACTTTGGTAGCTGGCATTGCAAGGTATTTATGTGCCAGATATGCTAAACATTCGTATGCCCCTTAATGCTTTGGCCACCATTCCAGAGGACATGCTTCCATGCTGATAACACTTGTTT